AATTCCAAAGCCAGATACTGGAATCAGTTCAGTCAGTTTCAGTCTGGCCCACGACCCGATGCGAGCGGGATCCGTCCCGGTCGGGTTGGGTCGTGACATAGTGGACCCAAGCAAGTAATGTAATAAGTGTTTAGGGGGGAAATTTGAATTATTAGTTTAGGGGGGTAATTTGAATTATTAAGTGTTTAGGGGGGAAATTTGAATTGGGGGGTTGTTTGGGATTTTGTTTCTCCTTCTAATTTAATTAGGTGCTAGGGATAGAATGAGGGTTTCAGATTGAATTTGAAAAGCAGTTTGAGATCTAGGGTTTGTATTCTTGGGCTCTAGGCTTGGCTAGGGATTTGAAGAGCTGTTTCTTCCTCTCGAATTGAAGAAACTTGTATCGTTTGTTGTTTTCTTTCATCTATTACTGGATTTCCCCATTGTTTCTCTCATATTTCCCTGTTTTCCTAAGAAAAGTTGTTATTTGTTGTTTGACTGCTGTAAATAGCAGTTATCATCACTGTTTTCCACTCAATCTTGTTAGGTTTGCTTGCGAACTCAAGTATTACCCTTAGGGTTACTTGGGAACTCATGTACTTCCTATCAAGAGCTTACGAGTCGAACCAAGTAGAGCTTGAGCTCGTTTAATATACAAGCTCGAGTATAGGCTCGAGCTTGAACTTGTGACTCGATAAGCTTGACTCGTAAGCTAGTTAGCGAGTCGAGCTCGAGCCAGCTCGCGAGCTAGCTCGGCTCACTTATAACCCTAATCTAGCTCGGGAGTAGGATCGAGATTGTAACTAAAATCAAGGGGAGGTTGAGCTATGAGCTGAAAAGAGGTGAGAGGGTTCAGGACGATAATGGCTAGGGTTAGGACTTAGGAATAATCCCAATTTGATATGACATTGAAGGAGAAGATATTTATATCTTATTCAATAGGAGGTCCCCTTATTTAACATAATGTTCAAAGCTACTATGAAATAAACATAATCCATTAATAAAAAATTGAAAACTTGCCTGAAAATAGAGCTTATTATTTGACATAGGTAGTCTCTACATTTATAGTTATCTTCATCATCATTTTCCAATTATTTGTGACCAGCTTATGAATGAATTCTCCATTTTCATTCTTTCTTTTTCCTTGTTAAATGAAATTTTAAATCTAATTTACACACTTTTTTTGTACAATTGATACCCATATAAGCTCTAGTCTAGCCATTTTCTTTTATAAAATGCCATGTTAATTATATATATCAGCCCTCTTGGTGCATCTTATGCAATCCATCTGCCCAAATCACAAGTCTACTTTTAATTATTTCATCTGCAACTCGTGTATTCTCAACCTTTCTCAAATAGAAAGGTTTCTCATTGTATTCTGTTGACCTCGTTTTCCGCTCGAGTACCCTCGAGCAGCTTCAATTGATCTAGTTGAATTTCGTCGGGCCCGATTCGAGTTCGAATTGACTCGAATTTAGTCGAATCAGGCTCGAGCGTATTCAATTAAACTCAATTAATCCGTTTTGGTCATATCTTGTCCCATTTGGTTTAAGATTGATCGTTATTACTTCATACAATTAATTTCGCTGCGCCGGCTCGAACCCGCACCGACTCGAATTGACTCAAATCTTGGACTCGAGTTTAATCTAATTTAACCGAATTAGACTTGAATTAGCTCAATTTAATCACATTCAAATCCATTTGACTTTCCAAAGAATTTGAATTCACTTCCTTAAATCAGGAAATTCCTTCAACGGTTGTGATTTAACGAAATCCCCTTTTTCAGCCGAAATCTCGCGTCTCAGGCGATAGTCTGCGGTTCGAGCAGACCTCGTGCAGTGATCGAAGCCGTTTGAGGAATTTTCGAGGGCTGGAGCGCGAAGACGAAAAGAGGCGGGCTTCCTCTTGCGGCAACGAACTCAATTTATTCGGAACGAGGCTTTCAGCTCCGGTATTCTTCCTCACGCCTACTTCCCCCTGAATCCTCTCTTTCTCCCGGGCGAACTCTCTCTCTCGGCATTCTCCCACTCCCGCGCCCCCTCTCTCCGACTCGCCAGCTCTCCTTCTCCGTTCGGATCAAACCCCAGGACCCGTGCTCCCTCCGATCGGAACCCGAGCGGGAAGCCCGTTGCCCCCTTCCTCCGTCTCTCCTCTGTCCGGACCGAAACCGGAGAGTCTCCTACTCTCGGACCGACCCCAGCCAGAACCGAGCTCGACGGTAGCCGAACCCGACATCCCTCCGACGTTCCTCCCCATCTCTGCCCTGTTCGCACAGACTCGACGGACCGACCCCAGTCAAGGCCGAACGCCTCGACGCCAGCCTCGCTCCCTGCGTCCTCCTCCGTTCGTACGACCAGTAGCGACGCTGGGAGTTTGCCGAACTCCTCTTTGTAAGTCTTCTTCTTCTCTTTTCTTCCTCCTCCTCCTATTCTTTCCCTCTTCCCCTTGCCCACCTTCTTTTCCTTATCCAGCTAGTATTTCTTCACCTGTTGGAATTAGCTTGGCAACAAAAACCATTCCCTATCATCTCTTATTTGTTTAGTTTTATCTATTTGAGTATCAAGTGATGTGTGATGTTTGAGTTCTTTTGAAGCATAACGATAGTTGTTGCTAGACAGAGATAATTTTTGCATGATTCAAGAGTGAGTAGCCATGTGATTCATGCTATGTCTTTTAGAAGCCTTAGGCGTGATTGGTACCAAGTCTTATAGAGTTATTTTGTCTCTTTTCTAAAGATGCATGCCAAGTGCTTGGTAAAATGCCTTTAAGGAATTTTTGTGAAGTTTTGTGAGTAACTCATAGAATATGTGAAGCTACCTAATTAAAATTGGGCGAGCATTCTCCTCTATTTGCTCTTTTGCAAGTTTATGCATCTTCTTCTTTGCTGTAGACATTTCCTTGATAAATTTTATTGAACCTTTTCTCTAAGCTTGCAATGGTGGTCAACTTGGAAAGCTATGTTGTTCTTTTACTAAAATATATGTTTGAAGTTACTTAATCAAGTATTTGGTGAAGTCTTGTCTTTTGCATTGTTGGTATGACTATTTAGTGTATTAGATAATTATGATTCTCTGTGAATAAAAAAAAAGGAAAGGGAGCAAGAGTAGAGCTTCTTTCCTCTTATGGTTGAGTATAGTAGAAGTTTGATTTCCATGTCATATTATTTGCTTAGCTTCATATTATTGCATTTTAATTGTTTGGTGAAATGTGTTTATAGATGTCATGAGAAATTTTGTTCTTTCTCTTGTGATTTTGCTAAATCTTATATGAAATGATGTCATCATTATTGAAAGCTTACGGAAGACTTTAAATATGAAGAACATTTACTAGCATTTCGTGGAGAGTTTAATTAGAATTTCAAGTCGTAGATTCATGTTCTTGTTTCTATATACATGTTTTGAAAGTTGATTGGTTCTCATGAGATGGTTGTATATCTTGTTTTGGTTTATAAGCTTATTCACCCAAGCAAAATTTTCATGTTAATACCATTCTTGTGAAAAATCGGAAAGTTTGTTGTAAAGAAGAAATTTTGGTTGGTTCAAGTTTCTTTTACTTCTTACTTTAAATGACTATGTTTTCATGCTCGTTTTGAAAATCTTGTTGGAATAGAAAGCAATGGGGCTTGTTGTAGATTAGAAAAGGTTGGATTTTCTTCCTTTTTTTTTATGCACCTCAGGTATAGGTTCTGCATAAACCCAAAATGTGATATTACTTATTGATGGTTGGAATATTTTCTTGAAAGTTGAGGAGGTACGGTCGCGTCGAATCCTCTTTATTATCTTATTTACGTTAAGTAAAATAAAAATATATTTGATTGGAAATATGCATATGAGGATTTCCTTCTAATAAAAAAAATCTGGGAAGATTTTTCTTAAATCTAATCACATGGCTTTGAGAGAGAAATGGTTACCTTATTTCTTCAAAAACAAAATATAGCAAGGAGTTGATTTGTTGTACATGGTATTGCATGAAGGAGCATGTGTTTTGAATATCAAATATTTGCACCAAGGTTTGACACAATAAGTATTTAAGTTCTTGATTGAGTGAATCTTTTATTGCCTTTTTTTTGCCATTTTCTTTTATAAAATGCCATGTTAATTATATATATCAGCCCTCTTGGTGCATCTTATGCAATCCATCTGCCCAAATCACAAGTCTACTTTTAATTATTTCATCTGCAACTCGTGTATTCTCAACCTTTCTCAAATAGAAAGGTTTCTCATTGTATTCTTTTTAGTTTTAGCACATAAAAATATAAACATTCTAATTTCTAATGTCAATGACTACATTATTGCCCAATACTATGATCCTACAGTGAGTATCCACATTTATATTGACAATAAAAAGCAGGCACTCAAGATCCTGTCAAATGCTTAGAAACGAATTTTCATAAAAAAAAAGGCTTAGGAACGAGTCTGCAGTTGATCAAGTAAACCATCTTTCTTGCGCTAAAACGCCCAAAGTAGTTTTTATAAAGCTAGTTGTTGCAGTATGGGTAAAATGAACAGAATATATGAGGCAACACAAGCTAGAAAAGTAATCATTAGCAGGAAATGGAATGGCTTAGGCTGTCAAAAACACAAGATATTGGGAAGTCTTCTAGTTTTCATGATGATCAAATCTCTTGCTAAGCCTGCATTGTTTGACTTTAACCAACATCAAGTAAGTATACAAGAAAATCGTATGTACCCTATAATAATTTAACAAATAGCACATGGAAAGTCAAGCTTATCTTGGTAGAAATAGATATCATTTAGTCCACATAATTTCTAAACGATCAATCTTAAGCTTGATATCAATTACAAGACAAAGTATCATATTGATAATACTCTATCTCAAACCTATGCACTCAGGCACATTCCTGTATACAACTTTTCATAATTAGATATTCCTATGCCAAATAAGACCTTTATGGTAATAATACCGTTATAAAAGGAATATCCATACATTTTCATCATCAATATGTAAGCTCTCCTCATTAGCATTAGCATAGCCTTAACCCAACTACTTGGATCAACTCCAAAAAAAACACTCTTCTCCATTCATTTATGTATGAGGGTTACATGGAGTATTAAATTTAGTGTATCAAGACTTTAGTTACAACCATATTCACATTAATTCTATCTGCTCATCCAGTTGATGTATCCACTCTTCTTCTTACACGCCAAATACAAATCGTACAAATGATTGGCTTGGTAGGCTAGGTGTATTGCAGTCACAAATAAAGGTCTACAGCTATCAATATAAAACCTTGATATCAGAACTCAAAAATAGGAAAATACAAGAATCTGTAACTTTCTCTAATCTCTATTAACTCCAACTTGATGGCATGCAAAGCAAAACAAAGCAGAACGCGAGTCAGTAGAATTTAATGCTAGTCCAAGAATAATTGAAGCGTTTCAAGAAAATAGACTTCCTACCTAGCAACTCCAAAAGGAAGGGTCCTTGTGCTGCTCAAGTTATCAATTTAACTCTACTCTTCAATCAAGTATTGAGAATTAATTGGCTCTCCCTCCTAATTACATTGACAAAGGTAACGAATATCTCCCATCCCTTTTCCTTGCAAGCTTTCTCTGTCTAGAAAATCTCAGGTACGTTGGAAGAAGAATGGCAACACATATAACTATAGCAGCGAGCCTAAAACACTTGAAATAGAGCGACATGTAGGAAGATATTATGATGAAGCAAAAGAACAAGGCAAATATCAGAGCCACAACAACATCCTTCCTGCAAAACAACATAAATTTAATAAATCAGCAGTTAATCAATATTAGGCAATTTTATTATTTAATATCAATTATACATTAAAGCATCCACATAGACAAGTTAACAAATTATCCTCACAAAAAAATAATAAAGAGAGGTCCTATTACAAATGCAAAGTTCACATTCCTGATCCTCCAAAAATAAAATATAAGGATAATTTGATAGGCAATGATGCGTTATTACTGAATTTCAGTCATTTGAATTATTGAATTTTTTTAAATATTAATACATAAATGAAATTTAAGTCCACCATTTATGACATCTAAATATCAGGCCAATCTTTCAACATCTAAATATCAGGCCACCTAAGAGCTAAAACAAAAGAAAACAAATGTTATTGGACAGAACATTCTTATATAAATAAAACTTTAATCTAGTAACAATACTATCTATGTAATATTAAACCATATAGTCTCATGATTTGATCTTGGTTGCAAAGAAGTTAAAACTTTTTAAGTAGAGTGATAACTTTAAAGAAAAACCCTAATAAATCTGTCTCTCTGATGCCATAATTGCTACATAGCTTGTGTAGATTTTAATGAAAATAGTTCATTGTACACCTCAATTCGCTTAGGCCAAGTCCAAGAATAGTAAGCCAACAAGGAGGTGTCCTCAACATATCAAACTCAGCCTACGTTTAGGACGGCTTTCTTACTGCTTCTTAAAGCAGCTTTCTAGTACAATTTTTTTTTCTACTAGAAAGCTGATTCTTAAAGCGAAAAAAAAAAAAAAGTCATCCCAAACGAAGCCTCATTCTAGTAAACTTGCCAGAGCTATTCAAGCAAGTATACTCGGCCCCGTGGGTCCACTAAGCAAAGCTACCAAGTTATGTGCTCAACTCGACTAAGAGTACTTGGCCTTAGAGCCAACTAAGCAAGCCACCAGAGCTTGACTACTTGCCAAACTCGCCTTAGGACCCAAGACACTCCATAGAGCTACTCATAGAATTCGACCAACCAAGATGAACTCGGACAACAACTTCACTTTGATAGTTCTTTATTTGAAAATTGCTAATACATATTAAGCTAGCAGTATCTAAATTTATAACAAGTCTTTATTAGACCTCATTAGACAGTTAGCTCATTTTCTTTAAATATAGTATTTCTATAGTACTAAGCCTCAATCCTCACCTATAAATAAGGGCCAACATGGCAAGCTAAAAGGACATTAAATCATTATCTCAAGCCCTAAGTAATAAGAAGTCTTAGGGCATCTTCAACCGAACTCCAAACACATGAATAACGTCGCTCGCTAGCTCCAGCCGAACGGCAAAATTTCCGATACTTGGTTGAGGGTGAACAGTGCAACGCCAATATTGGAGATGAATCGCACCATTTTTTAGCTTCATTGCATTTTGCAGCGAAAAATGAGATTTTTGGTTGGAGATGCCCTTAGGCTCTTTTAGAGAGATTACACGTTGCAAAATGCAATGAAGCTAAAAAATGGAGTGATTCATCTTCAATGGAACTCCATTTTGCGCTCTTTCTCCTCTTTCGGGCATTTCTTCGGCAAATCTGGTAGAGAGAAAAATAATGCATATTGGCGTTGCACTGTTCACCCGCAATCAAATACCGGAAATTTTGTCGTTCAACTGGAGCTAGCGAGTGACGTCATTCATGTGTTTGGAGTTCAGTTGGAGATGCCCTTAGAGTTCTTTTAAACCCCCTCCCTTTTATCCTCCCTCTTTCCAGTCATTCTTAATACCAAGATTTGGTGTTATCCAATATACAGACAAATTTAGATGCAACACTCATGACTGCAGTCAGAAAAGTATAGAAGAATTTCTGCATGATTTTTTTTTTCGAAAATGAAATCGAGATGGGGCATGGCAGTAAAGGCAACATTCATGCATCAACAGTATATTTGAAAGAAACTCCCACAAGATAAACTCAGAAGAAATTCTGAAAATTCGTGCTTTGACAATTGATAAAAAAGAATTGAAGAGGACCGATTCTTGATCTGGGGCTTGGGAGAAAAAATCAACAGAGCGGCCCACTTGCTCTGGGATCCGATCTGGTACTTCCTCAACTCCTCCACCAGCTTCGATCGCGTTATCATCCCTACGACTCCCCTCGCCGGAGAGCCACCGCTTAACCGGCCGATCTCTGGAAGAACAGGGCAACACCCAAAAAAATTCGAAAAAATAAAAAAAAGGATGTACTCGTTGTGCTTGCTCGCGGAGGAACTAATGCAATTTTCTAAACTCGCTTCTTTAAGACATCCGATTTGATGCCGCAGAATCAGGTTTAGTTTGTGAGGACTTTCTTACAGCAATAATATAGCTATTTTTAAGAAGAAATAGCATCTCAAACAAGATTAATTATTTTATGAAATGCAGAAAATCGTCTTGAGATCAATCAAAATACGTCAAAGTCATCTTTGTGCTTGGTGCCATGGCTCGGTACTGTGGCTCGATATCGCGGCTCGATACCGCTAACGTGACGAATTCTAGATAGTCTTTGGACGACGTTATGTGTAAGGTCTGCTCACAATAATTTGTCCTCAAACAAAGTCTCAAATAGTAAATGATAATGGACTATTTTAAGAGTGTTATTCACTACTACAAATAACAATTTCCTATAAATAAAAATATTTAACAAAAATAATTTTTTTTTATGAAATACATTCTCAATAAAAAAATATTTAAATTATCCTTAATCAATTTCCAAAAAAAAATCATATTAATCAAATAATAAACTTGCAGTTGATGATTAAAAGTCCAAAATGATAATATAAATGATTTTTTTTAAAAAAAAAGGAGCAAGTGTTTAATTTAAATTAGGAATAAGAGCAAAGTATTAAAAAAAATTTTAAAAGAAGCAAATTAGTCAAACAGAATGATGTTTTTCACTGAATGCACCAAACTCTTTGACTTATTTAGTATAAACCAAACAGTTTGGCGCATTCCATTGAATGCCCTCTTTAGTATGCATGGCGCGTTGCTATAATTCTGTGAAATTTAGTTTAACTAATTAGGGGGCATGCGAGGTGAATGCGCCAATTTGTTTGGCTTGTTTGCTCCGTTTTAAATTTTAAAACTCACATGCTCCTGCCAGTAAAAATATATATTATACATGCTCCTTCTTAAAAAAAATCCTAATATAAACTACTTTCTTAATTAAATGTTAGATTTTCAAAGAATATAATATGAGATTTATAATTTCTTATATTGTTTAATTTTGTATTATTGTTAATATTAATGAGAAAATAAATTAATGATTGTGGATTTGTAATCAACCCAAAAAAACATTTGTTTGATATCATTTTCTTCATCTCTTCATATAAACAAAGGTTTATGTATATATATATATATATATATAT